GCAATTGGTCTACACTAGCTCTGTGGATCAAAGGTACAAATTTCACTTTTTCGCCAAGCTTCTCGAGTTGCAATGGAGCCTTGGGGTTTGACTGATCACCTGAGCTTGATACTCTACATGAAGCCGCGAGGAGTGAAAGTATAGCTTCTTATTGGCTTTACGCTTTTTGGCTGCACAGGTTTAGTTGCTAGCTTTGGTGGGAAGATTTTAAGCCTCAAATCTTTAAATGTGTAATTCATCATGCACTTACATTACATATTTGAGATTTCGATTTTTGCTAAATGCACATAAACATAAACATAGATAGATACAAATGCTAAGAAGTAAGAAACACATTTTGAAACTAAAGACTCGAAATGTTCTTAGCTTTTGCATCTAATGTATGTTTATGTTTTATTTGCATTTACCAAAAAATTGAATCTCAAATCTGTAATGTAAATGCAGAACGGGTAACACATTGAAAATTTTGAGACTTATAATCTTCCCACCAAAGCCAGCAACTAAAACGGTTTACAGCCAAAAACCGTAAAGTCAATAAGAAGGAATTCCTCCTCGCTGCTTCATGTAGAGTGTCAAGCTCAGGTGATTAATTAGTCAAACCTCAAGGATCCATTGAACTCGAGAAGCTTTACGAAAAAGTGGAAGTTGTTCCTCAGATCCAAAGAGCTCGTCTAAACCAATTGCAAAGTATAAAAGACGTCAAAGGAAAATAAACAGAGGGGAGTCGCTGGAAATATTTTTTACATTGGGTCAAACCCATATCAAATAAATGTGTGCAAGGTACATAAAACTAAGTGTAAACTGCGGAGTACCCAAGCCCACGCGGATTAGAATTTAGTGAGTTAAATTATATTTCCAAGGGAATTAGGATCAAGGAGACAACCTTTTATAAAAAGGAGGCAAGGTCCCTAGGTCCTTGGAGAGGGATCATCGAAAATTATAGAACAACAATATGGACGCAAGAGCATCCATCTTATTGCCTAGAGATTTTTACCATTGAGAAAGCTCTATGCACTTTGTGAATTCGTGTTGTCATGGTAATTTGCAACAATTGAATATCAATAAAACTTATCTTGTATTCTTATTTCGTGCACGTTCACCGTAACTTCTTAAGCAAGAGAGGTGTTTATGAAGAAGCAAAGCTCACTACACAAAATTTGGCTATGGAATATCACTATGGTGTAGACGCTGAGGTAAATCTTGATATCCATGATCCATCCCAGGGACTGAATACTTGCAAGTTTATGTAGATCATCGTTAATACATTTGATATCTACACTTTAGATTCTCACAACTTCAACTTCTAATGCACTTTTGGTACCCTTGATTCCATTAGCCTAAGGCTTCGGTAGTTGATTATTAACTTAACTCTGATCTTACGTTTAATGTTGTATTTGATGTTGTTCGTGTACATGTAAGTTCATAAAATTAAAGAAAAAAATCTCAAATTATATGAAATACTCAACTAGAATATTATATTCATTACTTCATGTCTTACAGATTCATAGCATGGATAATATCATGATTTGTTTCTTCTTAATTATATGGATAATATCATGTTGACGTTGTGGTGTTGGTTTTTAGGTGGTAGTAGTCTCTTAGTGTCACTAAAGCTCTTGAGTCTATGAAACAACCTAGGTGGGAGACATGTTTTATACTTGTAAATTACTATTGGTATTGTAATGTTTTGTCTGAGGTAATATGACACTGTTGGCGAATTGAACTTGCCGGATTTGTCTCGAATGACAATGGTGGTTCCATGAGCATGAGTCCCCATTTTCAGATTCTTTTTTTGGCTGCGCGGGATTTGGAGAGAGCTAGGGAAAGTGAACTCACCACACCTAAGAGAATTGAGACCAAGTAAATGCACATCCTGGAAAGCAAGTACAGTTTTGTGGGACCTAGCCGATCTCGGAATAGCCCGAATTAACCGCTGATAAAAAAAAACCAAGTTTTTGTCACTACGAGGAACGCAACCAAAACCACAAGAACCATGAACCCTCGTGTAGTGCAAAAGGGAATACAAATTAATAGTTAGAGATCCTATACTTCAAATATGGGGAAAAAACGAAAAGTCCACTAATAGTGTAATGATTTCCATGGTAATTAATTTTTATCTCAATTATTTGTTACAAGAATGATTCTTAGATTCCATTACATTAAGAAAATCAAACAATAATACTTTGTAAATGTAAAATTTATTCTCTTTTAATTTTTGTCAACTATGCAAATCTTGTAAAAAAAAAAAAATTGACACATCTTGTCTCTTCGTTTTAATTAGCATTATGTCATTTTAATAACAAATTATCAACTCTCCATGATCTTATGGTGATTTCTCATCTATTAGCATGTTTATGGTCCTCTCTATTTCGACAAAGCCTATCTTATTCTGGTAGTGAAAATTATTAATGAACTAGATTAAACCGAATTAAGTAAGTTCTATATTTTTTTTTCCGCTAACCATTGATTTATATAGATATCAAAATTCATTATATAGAATTTTTGGAAAGCAAATTATTACATGAGCAGATATATGCTATAAAGATACTTGATGCAGAAGTGGCTTTGACGATACTTTCCGTAGATATGCCTTACTCGTTAACGAATTACTAAATCCATTATTATCATTTTCCGAACTCGAGTTTACTCTGATACGATGACTCGGTAGCATTTCATTTCATGGCTAACCCTTCGACTTGTACACCGCAAAACAAAACCTGATGCTTTCACAAACTATTCTGAAATTTGGATAATTTAATAAGTAAGATTTATATTTAAAAGGTTTATTAAGGGAAAAATCACATAATAAACCTTAAAGATGGCCGCACTGATACTTTAAACCTCCAAATTTGATCACTTTCACTTTAAACCTCCAACATGACATTATTTACAATATAAACCATCAATGTGACATATTTGTATGTGCCGTCAAAAATTTTAACAGAATTGTAAACACTGTTAACTGAAAAAGCAACTCCGTTTAAATCATTTAACTCTGTTTTACTTTTTAGAAAATGTGTCTGATATAATGAGTTGTGGCTAAGTGAGTTGCACCAGGTTTCGAGCAACAAATTGGTACCCGATAAAAGAGAGAGGATTGTGTATTCTCTTCTCTGACAAGTAGTTCTCGTGGGAAGCCAAACTATGGAGGAGTAAAACTTCCTCCATCACGGATCATGTTAATGCCCTCTAAGGTAGCGATTTGCGGTAAATTACCTCTTTTCGTTTCTATATTTTTAATTTATTATAACTTCAGAGAAATCAAATTTTAATTTACCATCTCATAATCACACATATACATGCATGAGGCATCATTTCGTGGTTTTTTTTTTTTTTTTGGTCAAAGCATTTCATGGTGTGTAAAAATAGAAGAGTGATGGTTAACCAACAACAAAACACACGGATACAATAAGTACAACAAACGAGTTTGATCTTGTCAAAACATGCGGTCAGCAAAGCTTCAACCAAATATAATAAACATAGAAACCATTGAGGTGTCTGGTAGAAACTCACATAATTAAAAATTAAGAGGTGCTACAAAACTACATAGACCAACCACAACAAGAGCACAAAAGATCTCTTCTACAATGGACACTTGCTTTTTCTCAGTGGAGATGTGTGGTAATTGTCTCTTGACGCCACGAACAATTGCATACACGAGATTGCTATCAATTATGCCACATCGACATAATATTGACAATAAAAAGTTTGTTGTAAATTCTGGTGAAAACAATGAAGAACTTTAGCAAAATTAATAGAGAATCAATTTTGAGGCCAATATTTTTTAGAGAAAATTATACAGATTAGCACACATTTGTTGATATATTACTAAACATTTAGTAAAAAATATGACGATTTAGTAAACTTGTTCTTCTTCTTCATCAATTCCAGTTAACAAGCTCTTGATTCCGA